CTCCTCATTTTGCCTAGCGGCACTCTCTCTTTCTTGAGGGCAACGGACTCCCCTTGTTTCAAAAGTTCATTTCTACGCCTGTCTGTTGTCGACAAGAATTTAACATATACAGGAGTTCGTGTGACTCCCTGAAAATCCTGCTATACGAACTAGTCCGTTCCAGAGCACGGCCTCACGGAATTACCGTATTTTTTCAGCAAATGTCCAAAGAAAATTTGGCAGACTTGCAACCGCATGAATCTTCAAAATAAGCACATGCTTATTGCTAATAGCACCGCATTATTGTTAATATCTTTAGTTTAGAACTTCAGACTGCGGACTTCCTCATTTTGCTGCGGACTCTCTCTTTTTGAGGGCAACGGACTCCCTTGTTCAAAAGTTCATTTCTACCCCTGTCTGTTGTGACAAGAATTTTGTGTTTTGCTTGTCTTGCCACGAAAACTATAATTCTGTTAAATTGAGTAGCGGTTCACACAAACCATTGTGTTTTAGAATAAAGCCGTGGATTCAAGATTCATGAGGACCGAATACAGAGGTGCCACTGCAATGTGCAGGGTAGGTAAATATTCAGAATCAATGTACACCAGCACATGCGCATATGCATTGAACATATACAGATATAGATATATAAAACCCAAGTTTTCAAGAGGCCAAGTGCTGTACCAGTACAGTACAATATGTATGAGTAATGCTAAATACATTAATATTTGTCGGGGTCGAGTTTTAGCGCTAAACGAGAGCTTTGGTGTGCAGACGACCTCCACGAAAAAACTTTCTGTTTTGGAGCTTTTCGGTTTTCAGAATTGCGGATAAGAGATCGTGTACTGTAGTATTATTAAATATTTGGAAGGGATCTCTCATCTCTGGGTATATTGCATTGTATATTGTTGGTTATTATTTATTCATGTTTTGATATATTTCAGATATTCAGGAACATCACTGCCTGCCAAGTTCTTGGTAACTTGTGTGCACTCACAATGTATACCTATGCTTCTAAAAAATTGAACCTTCCTTGCGCTGAGTTTCGAAGTATTTCTGGGGAGAAGTAAGTGTAGGCACAATGCAGTGATAGTGATGGCTTATTTCCATTGAAATTGCTATCTGATAGTTTGATTATCGTGTACGTACATCTCATATAAATTAAAAAATACTTTCTAAATTATTGATTTTGTATCAGATATTAACTGTACAAACATCTATATAAAATTGATATAAGAAATATTGCAGGTGTGATATTCTTGTAACATAGCTATGTGTCCGTTTTGAATGCCTATCTGTATTACAGAGCAGCGTCGGACTCTATGCCCTGGCTCTATTATTATGAAAGTAGTGGTGAGATCCTTAATTCAAACACGATACAGACAGAATTCTCATTCCGTTCCACCAGTGAGGTTTGTATAAGATGTATTTAATATTAAATTAAGAAATATGTAATTATTATTAGCTCATCTGACGAAGTCAGATGCAGCTTGTAGAATCGCATGAGCGTCCGTCCGTCCGTGCGTCCGTGTGTCCGTCAACAGTTGGGCACAAATCTTAACCGCTCGACGTACGGTCACGATATTCGGGGGGATCGTGAAAAGGACTGGATGACCAATTTGGGGGGTCAAGGGTCAAAGGTCAATTTGTGTCAACGGAGGGGGGAATATTTCCCCCTTATATACCCTTATCCCCGTTAAGGTATAGGAGGAAATACGGAATTGCGGCACAAATCTGAACGGCTCGACCTATGCTCTTAATATTTGGTGTATAGTGTGATGGGCAGGAAATTACCAGTGCGAAATTGGAGGTCACAGGTCAAAGGGCAGTGGGGGAAAGGTCAGATATCAGACACTTTCTGAGGACATGGCCTAACGGACAGAGT